GGGGGGGGGGGGAGGGTTGAGGGCTTTTCGGGAGCCAGTGGCCAGTTCCTGCTTCTTCGTCAAAATAATCACGAAGGAAAGGCTTGAAGAAGGCACCACCCCTCCAAGAAGATCCACCCAGAGAAACTCTATCAGGAGCGATGCCCTCGACTTGAGAGACTCTCAACTTGCTAGCCGCTTCCCGTCCAGGAAGGCGTCGACGTTGTTCTTGACAACCTCGGCCCCCGGAACCTGGCCGAACTCTCGTGGAAGCCCTGGCTGCGTTCGTTCCTTTCGGTTCGCTTGACATGATGCCGAACTGGGTTGATGAAGAAGCTGGAAAATAAGCAAGGATAAGCAAACGAAGGCAATGCCAGGGAACTCGTGTCAACTCCTCCAAAAGAAAACGAATGATCCGCTCCATCTCATCAATTCGCTGGATGTACCTCGAAAGAGCTGCTGTTTTCCAGATCATGGCATGGCCAAGCGGAAGTAGACCCCAAAGCTTCTGACGCGAGATGCGTTCCAAGCGGCTTCTTGTAGGGTCTGTGCATATCTCGGACGTTCATATCCTCGAACTGCATCTTCGTATTCTTGCCTTGGTAGCTTCCCAAGCAAGCAAAAAACACCACATCGAGAGCAGAACAGACCGCGTTCCTAAGCTCGGCGCCGATCAGGTCTATAAATTCCCTGGCGCGCTCCACTGGCACCACCAGGGTCCCATGCTTCATCGGCTCCGAACGAAGCAGGCCCATCTTGGCGAGAGGCCGCGGGGGGGGGCGGCAGAAACGGATTCCACCGAAAGTCTCTGATACCCGGATGCTTGCATCCAGAAGCTTTTCAGATGCATTGGCTTTTGTGGGCTTCTGAGCTTTCATGACATGGTGTCTGTGTGTGTTTGTGTGTGTTTGTGTGTGTGTGTGTCTGGGTGACTGTCGGTGCTGTCACAGCTATCTGAGACCTCGGCTTGACCAAAGCCTTGACGAGACACTTTCCAACTCTGCTTTCTGCTTTCTTGTCCACGCTCCTTGCTTGAGCCGGCTGTGGATAAGGTGGCGGCGTGGGATCCTTGCTAAGGATCAGCGCTCTGAAGGCAAACTCCTCCAGCAAAGGTGCTTCTTTCCCGCAGAGCGGCCTCAACGCTTGCCCTCAAAGGGCAGTCTTTGCATGGGCTCCCGGCTTTTTGGAACCTCAACTAGCTCGTGGGGTCTAGTCCTAGTCAAAACTCCCATGCGGTTTCTCGGGTGCGCGCGGGCTCGAATGCAGGGTTCTGCTTGGGTAAGGGGTCCGGTGTGGCTTCGAGGCCTGATCAGCAAGGCTTTAACTTGGGAAGGGAACCAGGCGTAGCTCAAACGTAGGAAGCTGTCTTTGAACTAGTCGCGGGTAATCAATCTGCAACTCGGATCCATAGTGTTTGCGCGGGGGTTGGAACGAATTGCCGGAAACGGTCCCCATGGGGCAGCGGCTTCCTGCGCTGGAGGACGACCTCGATCTCACTGCGGCCCGGATGGCTTCAGCCATCGGAGCCTGGTTGTTTTGGGGTCTTGTTCAGGAGCTGAATTGAAGTTGCAGTACCATATGTACTAACGAACGCAGATGATTCGCTCGATGACTGTATGTGCTATGGCAACGTAATAAAACTCATGAGCGAGAATCAGGGAGTTTGAGCTCATCGTCGTTGACGGGTGGCGCTCGGCCGTTTTTGGTTCAGTGTGCAGCCGGTGTTTCTGACAAGAAGCATTGCTCTGTTCGGCTCAAAACAGGATCCTCTCAAGCCTTTGGGGCCTTTCAGAAACGAAGCAGCAGCAAGAGATACTTCAGAGATGGCCCCCCCCCCCTCCCCGTTTTTTCGGGACCCGGGCCGGACTCCGCCGATTAGAGCTCCTTGTCCCCGAGGCAGGGGCAGAAACGGTAGGTTCCAGAGTCACCTGCCTGACCGCACCTGCAGGCTGTGGCGACGAGAGGTGTGTCGCCAAAGTGTGTGAAGGAAACAGAAACGGCTTGGGGGGGCTTTGCAAACCCATCGCTGCAAGCCCTTCTGCTTCCTAAAACCACTCCTGCAGTCCCCTCTGCGGTTTTTCTAATCTGCCATCACTCTTCTGCGGAACCTTTCGGAAGAGAAGATTCTCAACTCTTCGCCGGTGCTTTTTCCCGGCCTGGACTCTCCGTTCATGTCCTCTGGCCCCTGCCAGCCGCAGTGGTGACCATCCGTGCTTGGGTCATACCTGGGCCCATGCTTTGGGCGTTGAAGGCCAAAGGTGCTTCTAGGCTTAAGATGTTCTGGGTCTCGGGTTTAGGGTTTAGATCTTTAGGGCATACGGCTTGGGATTACAAATCTCGGGCTTCCTCCTGCAAATGACTGTCCTGGTCCTAATTGTTTGGGTTTTATCGCTGGGGCCTCTGACGTAGCCTTCTGCCCTTGGCCCCCGGTTTCAAGCCGCTGAGGTGCTTGGCGCCGCCACTCTGCGTGCTCTCGCAGACTTGGCCTGTAACGGGCTTCGAGTTGGGCTTTCGGGTAGGCTCAGGCTTTGTGTGGAGAGAACATGTACTTCAAGTATGTATCCAGCATCAACAGCTGTGATCAAACCAGAACTTTCGAGAGTGTCTCGGAGAAGCATCCTATTAGTAATCGAACCACGACAGCAGAGGAGCCCCAAAAAAGGCCGCGCACAACCAGCGTGCACAGTCACACACACACACAGCGAGAAAAAGCAGGAGAGGACAAAAGGCAAGAAACCCGCCAGCCCCCCGCAGCCCCCCGCCCCCAAACCCCCCCTCCGGACTCCGAAGCCCGGACCCTAAACCCTCTAAACCCTAAGCCCTTCTTTCGGGAAACCCGGGGCCTGCGGCCCTGGCAGCGTCCTGGAACTCCTCCTCCGACTGCGGCCAGGTCTCGTCGCTGCACCTCGGCTCGGCGGCTCCCAAAAGCTCTTCCGGGCTCTTCGCTTGCGCGAACAAAAGGGGGAGAGAGGGGGGGGGTTCCTGATTTTTGGGGATTTGTCGCGGAGCTTGGGCTCGCTGCAAGTGTGCCTCCTTTGCTTGCAACTGTACTGCCAAGTTGAGATCGCTGAGAAGGGCAAGCAACCCAATACCACGGCCCGCCCTGACGCCTGCGCCTGCCTGACACCTGTCTGATGACCCCGCCAACGACGCTTCTGTTATGTTCTCTTGGGGCCTGACAAGGTGTATGCACCACGAGTGCAGGAGGGTGCAAATCCGACTTAGTGCCTCTAGTGCTTGATGCTAGACTCAACCTGACAGGTTTAAACCCCGCCCCGCCGTTGGGTTTCGGGCTCCTTCCTCAAGGCTAGGCCCGGCCAGGCACCCGTCTCGCGCCGCGCAGGCCTGATCGCAGCTGGCGCCGGCGGCGCTCTTCACCTGCGGCTGCAACGATGTGGCCATCCAAGAGGTGGCCACCAGAGTGTTTTTTTCAACGAAACATGTCAGAACCCTACTCTTAACAGAGGTCATGGAGCCTGCGGGGGTGCAGATCTTGCGGTCAATCACAGCCAGCAACATCATCAGCATCATTGACATCATCACTACCACCACTAGCAAGTAGCAGCAACACTCCCAACACTGCCGTCACTGCCGATGCCAAACACCACAAATGCTTCATCTTCTACGTTCAAGCTCTTGCCGGGGTTGCCCAGGTAATCGCTGAGCACGCAGGCAACCTTGGCCAATTATGCCAACATTCTGCTACAAATGGCTTCATGGGGATGTTTCGGACGACTGCTTCTTCGTAATATACTAGAACATACTATGCTACGATACTATGCGATGCTATGCCCAACCTCTACATTACGTTACTTTGAACAAAAGACTGTGCCTTAGGCACAAGTTTGGCCGGCATGGGGCCTTCAGGCGGCGGCTGGTGGCTTCTGAAGTCGTTCTCGGGCGTGTGATGAGGCGGGGAGGGACCCTTCATTCTCTACATTTTATGGTTCTTCTTCGCAGTGTTTGTGTGGGATATGTGCTGTGAGGCCTGAACCTTGAGGCGCCGATCAGCGTTTGCCGCGCGAATCCAAGCACCAAGCGGATGCAAACGAGGCTACGGTGCAGACGCCGCGGCTTGTCTTATAGCTACAACTACAATTACCTATACTATTTTTGGGGGCTCCTCAACATAATTATAGTAGAATATACCCCCAAAGCCCTATTCTAATTATTAAGGCCCCAATGCAACGATGCATCCTTCCAGGCTTCCCTTCTGAGCGGCAGAAGAGCGAGGAGAAGAGCTCGCATCATCGAAGCCAGGAAGACCTCGGAGCAAACCCGAAACCAAATCTTTCACCCCCGAACGCGGGAATCTGCCGCCCAGCAGCACGGAGTGCACCGGCGAGGTCTGGACCTTCAGCCCTCTTGAGCCGCAATGCTGCGCAGAAACAGCAGCTTGGGCCTGGGCCCGGGCAGCCGAGGATTCTCGACAGGGCTCGGCTGCGGCAAGGATCTGCTTGTGAGATGACGGCTCTCAGCACTCATTTGCCAGTCGCATAAATCGACGTCGCCCGACTCGAATGAAAAGGGGCATAAAAGGACCAGTAAAGACTCCTCCATGGAGGCGGGTTTCTAAAACCGAGCGGCTTGCTCATTGATGCACCCGCCCCCCAAAACTGTTCCTAGGCCACTAGGCTCAGCACTCGCTCAGCGGCTCGCCCAGTCGCTTGAAACCGACCTTGAGGATGGATGCAGCACTTGACGAACCTACGCCGATGGAATCATCGGACTCCACTTTCAGCCAAACATCACCGCAGCCGTACCTCTTCAACTGTAGCTCCCACCGTCCTCGAATAGCGGCGTACACCTTCTCATCAAAGGATGTGGGGCTGTCGAAGTTGCATCTCAATTGGTTCTGGTGGACTCTGCAATGGTTCCGGCGGCGCTGGTATGGAGCTGTTAAGTACACGGCTCTCCGTCTCCCCTGATAAACGTTGAACTCGCTGTTGCTGGCGAGTGAAGTGAAGCTGCAAAAGACCTTCCCTGATTGGCTGAGCAAGTAATTGCAGATTTTGCCGGTGGCCTTGTCGGTCAATGAGATCCTGTGTCCGTCCTGCAAAATGCACGACCTGCCCCTCTGCAGGACTTGATGGGGGAAGCGATTCACCACAGGCCACCCGTCATACCTGCAATGCATGATGTTGTTCGATTCTGATGTTCCACAATGGTCGTGGTTGTAGAACCTAAGTCGATTGCAGACGGCAGAACTAAGCTGTGTACCAGCGAAACGTGAAGAATCCAAGCTCTTTTTCTTTTCGTGGGCTGCTTTCTCATGGATATACGCCTTGCATCAAACGCTTGGGATCTACGGTTTAGGGCTTAGGGTTGAAGACTTGGGAAAAACACAGCAATACAAAACAAGCTTCTCCAGGTTAACGGCCCTGGCACAGGTTGTTGCGTCTGCGCCTTCCTCGACGCCGAGCGCTTCCGGAGTTGGATAAGCGGTAGTTGACGTTGTCGAACGTTTCCCAAGACCCTAGGTTCCAAAGTTCTGCTTGGCTGAGTCACACAGGATGGCATGGGGCTTCTTTACACGAGTTTAAGGGATCTTGCACACTGGAACGAGCAGGCGGAATTCAGTCGAGGGTCCTTGCCGATCTCTGTTGCAGATCAACTGATTGTTCTTGCTCCCGTCGTCGGCGCACCACTTTCCACGCTTGCCACCGTTGAAGCCAAACCTGCCATTCGGGGCTCGGTGAGCTTCAAAGGTTTCTCAACTCCCGATCCATTGACGATTACATTCGATCTTGTCGCCCTCATCCGCACAGAAGCGTCCGTCGTAAGGCCCGCCGTCCTCAACCAACACGAAGAGGTCATTGTGCTGCAAGTACGGATTGAACTTGCTCTTCGACTTCGTGGCATTGGTTGCGACTTGCAGCACGGCGCTGACGTCGCTGGCACAGGAGTCGGTGCAGTTGGAGGCTGAGGCTGCAATCGCGATGCTCAGGCGCAGGAAGCCGAGGAGGGCAGGCGTTCTTGCTTGTATGAAGCTCACCATGCCCGGCACAAGCGCGTACAACAGGGGGGCTAGCGGAAGCTGCGCAGATCCAAAATGGCTCCGTGCCGCAAAATGAGCTACCAGTCTCACGATGCGCACACAAAGGGACACATGGCATGGCGCAGTGTCCTGCACGAAGGTTGAGCTGCAGCCGCAGGAGCTTAGGTTAGGCACTGCAGCTCAGTCTCGTGTTCTGGTTGCAGGTGCCCAAGAGAGACAAACACACCCCTACGCGTCGCTGGGCTTTGTGACCTGTCAGCTGTAACGCGCAAAGCAATGCGACCTCCAGCCCAGTCTTCAAGGGCGGAGGCCCTAATGTGAAGCTGCCGGGGGGCCCCAGAGAGAGCCGCGGGATCCCTTTCAAGGAGCCACGGCCGCCGGATGCCTCGGCCTCTGCAGCTTGAAAGAATGCGTAAACACCGTAAACACGAACCGGCGCTGGCTGGGATCCACATCCCAGAAAGAAGGTTCTTGGAGCTACTTCGGGAAGGCAGGCATTGTTCCCTTCGTCAGTACCAGAGGCGACATCTTGCTGATCACGAAGAGATCCACGAAGATCTTCAGCATTCCGAAGATGGAGACCATGCCCCCCCGCCACAAATCCAGGTAGAAGAGCAGGAACTCCGCTGTGAAGGCTTGGTCGGATCGGAAGCCGTTGGACTGCCAAGTCTCATAGTCTCATCCCAACCATGCAACAACAGCTTATACTTTTAGAAGGGGCGAGGGCCAGGGTGGGTTCCCCCAGAAAAGGTCAGAGACGTCCCCACCCCCCCCCCCCCACCATGCGTTGTCTCTTTGGAGGCACCCTTTCATGGCTAAGCGGCTAGGCCAGAAGCTGCGGCTGACGTTCGTTCTAAGGTCGAGGCTTCACTTGTGGTGCAGCTTGACATCATCTTCTGTCCGTGCATCCTCCCCGCCCCTAGTGTGGGATCCGTGGCGTGTGGTCATTCGATGCTGCTGTAGCAGCAGATCCAGTTTCTCATGATTATGAATATTCTCATTTGCTTTTCTCGTCGTCGTTACCTCGTCGCCGTCGTATCACTCATGCATCTATCTCTTCTTACTCTTACTATCAACACTACTTGCCGTCCCTTGTGCAGAAAGTGTGCCTTCCCGGCACTCTGGCTCGACCAATTCTGCTGAGCTGTGGCGATCATCTCCGCCTCGCTTGGGGCAGCCTGCAGGTACCTCCGAGCCATCTGCGGCTTTCACGCTGAGGGCCTAGGGTTTAGGAATGGTTCTCTGGGGCTTTGGGGACCCTTGTGCTTGGAGTACTTTCGTTGAGGGATGGCAGGGTTTAGGGATCTGGCAGAAGCTTTTGCAATGCCTCATGTCTGAAAGCTTGCCTTGCTAAGGCCAAGGGGTAGGAGGTCTGGGAAGCGAAGAGGGCTCAGAGGGCTATGTAACTCCAGGCTTTGTCCCACCGTCATTTGGGGGCACCAGGTGATGTACTGCGCCGTGGTGAGACCCCGACATGGTCCGAACTGGAAGAAGGCCGTGGACGCGGACATGAGGCAGGGGAAGTTGGGCACCACGGCGTGGTGGTAGAGCTTGACCTGAAGCGCAAAAGGCAAAGCTTCAGAGGAGGGAAGGGCTCCCACTGTAAGGATTTGGATGTCAGGCTGGGCATAAGGAGCAGTAAAGAGGTAAGGGGCTTCCAGGCAAATGTGGGGCACGGGCACGCCACCACGGCACCTTAAACTCTTGTTCTTAAGCTTCCTTATGCGATGTCCCTGATCCCATGAGACGCAGAGCAAGGGGCATCACCAGCATCGACCACCTCGCCATCCTTCAGCAACTTCAGATCACCCCAACCGGTCTCGTAGCCCGTGGCGTAGATCACAACGTCGCACTTCAACATCTCTCCGCTCTCCAGCTGCATGCCCTCCTGGACACGAAGGCCTATAGCCTTTTTGGGGGGAGTTCGGGGCAGTGGGGAAGAAGCGCGGCTTTACCGCAGGTCCTTGGTGAGTTCCTTGGGCTCTCCCTGCTTGGCAGCCACCTGCTCAACGAAGGCCACCTGCTTGTCGTCCAAGATGCCGAAGTGGAAGCGTCGGCCGTCGAAGTGCTGTGGCAGCGCGCCTCCTGGCCAGGGCTCTTTAAAAAGAAAGACGAAACAGGACAACGGGGCGGGCTCCCCCAGGCCCCGCAGGCCCCGCAGGCCCCGCGTGCGTGTGAGAGCGTGCCTTCAGACTTGGGCAGCACCAAGTGTCCGATGAGCCAGGCCACGACGACGGGCAGCTGGTATGAGAAGAGGAAGAGGAGGAGGCTGCAGAGGAAGAGAAAACCTCTGAATCCTCCATTAGTTACCGGGGCATACCTCAAGAACCAATACGGAGCCCGGAAGAGCCAGGTGAGCTGCTTGTAGCCCTTCTTTTGGAAGGCGCAAATCATGTCGCAGCCAGACTTGCCGCCTCCCACCACAAGCACCTTCAAGTCCTTCTTGATGATCTCCTCCATGACGTCTTCCTGGCGGACTGGGGCGTTGGTCCACTTGGAAAACCTATAGACAAGAGAAGCATGTCAACGTCAGACTGCGGACATGAAAGATACTGCCGAGAGACGCCGGAAGGTGACTGATCAACAACTTCGGCACAACAGAAGCATACAGAAGAAGCCACCCCACCGCCCAAGCCCCTCCCCCTCCCATGTTGAATCCCTTTAGAGTGGAGCCTTGAACTGGCTGGAGTGCAGGAGCTTCCCCTCGAAGCCCTGCATGGGGATCTTCGGCCAGGCCGCCTTGGCAGCGAAGGAAGAGTAGACCACGAGGCGGTAGGGCCCCTTCTCCACCTCGGACGTCGGATAAAGGGCGGGGCGCGCTCTTCATGCATGCATGCACACATACACACATGTGCTTGTGTGTGTATATATGGAATTACCGAGAGCCGCTTTATAATCAGACGGTGCCCCTGCCATGCAAACAAGAACCCTTAGGTCTCAAGGAGTTTCCCTGAAAGGAGAGCGCTGAGTCTGAGCCACTTCGGCGCCATCGCTCTCCACGAGGAGGTAAGCCTTCTGCGACTTGGAGTGGTAGCGGATCTCCTGAAAGCTGAGCGCATCAGGGCTTCGCGGTTTTTGGGCTGCAGGGTTTGCGAGTTTAGGGGGTTGGGGTTTCCGGGTTTCAGGGTTTTGGGCTTGAGGGTTACAGCCATGCGGCCTGAAATTCTTCGCGGGAGGCGAATGGGGCTCACCAGACCCATACAGCAGGGCACAAGTAGGGTTGTACGGTTTATAATATAAATCCTGCATTACCTTAAGGGCCCTAAACTATGGGAATTGTGGTCTATTCCTTGTTATGGGTAATGCAAGATTTATATCATCAACAGTAGTTAGGGATACTTTGACTTGCGTCTTATTCGTAAGCCCCCGAATTAGCTCCTTCAAGCTCCTCACAGAAAACACCCAAACAGTGCCCTTCAGCCCTAATCCCCAAAGCTACCCACTAGCAAAATCCAGAGAACGTGCCAAAATCTGAAGGCCCCATCCCCAAAGCCAAAACCTGCGCATCCTCAACAAGTGCAAAACGCCACAACTCCATAACCAGAAACACCCAAAAAACACACGAAATACTTTGAAACACCTCAACACCCGGCCTTGACCCTGCTGTTCAGGTGGATCATCTCCTTGAGCCCCATCTTCTGGGCAAAGCCTGAGCTCATGTCTTGAGAATTTTAGGGTTCCTTCAGGGTTTGCGGGCTCAGGGAGGCTGATATAGGCTGATATAGGGTTCAGGGGTTTAGGGTTTAATGGCTTAGTGTTTGGGTCTTAGGGTTCCGTCAGAGTTCTAGAAGCGTGCCAAGTTGGGATCGAAAGGACTGCATACTGTTGACTATCTACTGCACATCCCTACGGTACCTCCAACTCAACGTCTCAGCATTCCCGACGCAAGACAGGAGGCTGCCGTACGTAAGTAACCCTCATAAGCCCCATTCAATCCGTCAAACTCCTCATATCCACTCCATGTTTGCAACCCTTGCCGTAATGCTTCGTTGAAGGCAAGCTCCAGTCAAGCAATGGGTAGTTCTCTAAACTAAGGTCTCTTTTGGGGTCCCTGTTGTTGAGATGCCATAATGCTTTCGGGATCGGACCCTCATTTAGAGAACTACCCAAATTCGCCAGAGCCTAGAAGCTTTCCAGGTATTCCCTCACAGAGCCGGCATCAAGCTTCTCACGGAGGCTCTCCTCGATGGCACGTTCATATTTTTGGCCGCCCTTTTTCTGCACTCTTAGCCCTAAAACCCTTAAAGCCCGAAACCCTAAACCCTCTACTACAGTGCCCTCTCAGAGGCCACAGCACCTTTAAGAAACTACCACCCTAAACCCTAAGCCCTTAAAGCCCTAAATCCCTAAAAACCTCCTAAGTCCCTAGCTACGTTACCTTCCCCGGTCCTCCGTCATGCCCTTGAAAGGGAAGGCCTGGCCCTTGAAGGTCATCAAATTCCTCGATCGAAAAATGTGCTCTGAGGCTCTGCTTACTGTAAGGGTTTAGGCACTCCTCAATGGGGCTTTGCCTAGCGTAGGGTTTGACATTGGCGCCCTTTTCTTGCACGGGGCATCCTAGGGCTTTTCTTCGGGGGCTTTGGGGGGTTTGAATGAGGCTTCAAAGTCAAGAGAGTGTCGGGTTGAGGGCCGTCTGAGGGCCCTGACGGGTCTTCAGGCAGGTCATCAAGTTCTTCAAAGTGTTTCGAAGATGTGGTGTGCCCTCCTAGGGGAGTCCTGGAAGAAGGATCCGACTACTGAGGGTCTCTATCCGGGTCGGGGGGTTTTCAGCCGGTTTCGAGCGGTTTCGACGCAACAAAACACAGACCTCCACGGGAAAGGGCATTCTGTAAACCTCCCAACACGAGGTTTCGGCCCAGCAACCTTAAAGTCGGAACGGCTTAAAGATCACATCTGTCCGACAACATCTGCACAAAGGAGCCAGTTTTAACAACAACCCGTCGGATCAACAACGTGCAACCTACTTCGCCAACACTCTCTCGTTTTATCCAGGTGTCGTGAACATGGGGCTGTGTACCTGCAAGCCGTGGTAGCTCATGTCCGTTGTCCAAGTGCCGCCCACTGAGCCACGGCTCTCGAAGACCTCCGCCTCCACCCCTAACTCCTGCGCGGTGGTCCTATAGGTCCTACGACTTGCTTTGCTGCAGCATTCTCAGCCATCGCCATGCAGTCATCAGATACAACTAGCAACCTTCAGCAGGCCCGAAACAGAAAACTAACTGAAATCTCATCGGAAGCCATGGATCCCGAAAAGCCTGCAAAAAGTGCCCTCTCCTTCAAGCTCTGCAAAGTCTGGAGGCCGGCCCAGCCGGCACCGACGATGGCCACCTGGCGGCACTGGAAAAAAAACTTCTGACAAGGCAACGGCAGGCTTGAGAATTTGTTGCTTGCAAGCGCACATGTCTCCAAAACAAATCTGCCCTCGTCTAGTGCCCAATTCGCCTTCTCTGACTCCATGGTGCCCTGGAGGAGGCTTCACGGAAGATCCACACGTGGCTTCGAGCAGCTGGCTGCAATCGCGCATCGCTGAGCTGATGGATCTACCCACATTCGAAAACAGGGGCATTCTGCTCGCCGGTGTCAGTGCATCCTAGGGCTGTTGGAAGCAGTGACCTTGGCAATGGTGATCTTTTTCCCCCGAAGAAAATGTCAGGATGCCTACTCTTCCCTCGCTGTTGCACATGCCGATCATGTTGAGTAGAAACTTCACACGCTTTGTGCTCAAAGGTTTTTTTCCTAAGTCTGCTGTGTTTTCTTTGGTGCCTACGGCGTGTACTGTAAGTCTGCCTTCTCTGATTGCTGCTTGCAACCACAACAACCTTATCTGCAAGTGCTTCACTTCCTGTTCCTTGTCTGCTTGTGATACCGCGGCACGCGGAATTGTCTGTGTATGCTTTGAGGGTAACTCGCTCTCCTGTAAGAAAGCGGATTGCTGCATGTAATCCTACACCTTCGCTTGTTGCTCCTGTGAGTGCCATGTACTCTGCTTCTGCTGATGACAGCGCTATTGACTTCTGTGTTCTGCTGTAGCTGTAGAAGTATGCTCCGTTGATGTACAACGTTGTACAGGAAACTGACTTCCTGGTCTGCTTGTCACCTGCCCAGTCGGAGTCACTGAAGATCTCCAACAAGTGTTCTCTGTCTGCTGTTCTGCTTTGCTCGTCACCTTCACCATCAGGCTTCTTCTCTTGCTGCAGTGCTGACGTTCCTGCGTCTTCTTGTACGTCACGCTGTAATCTGCTGTGCCTTTGCGGTAGAGCGCGAGGTGCTCCAACTCCTTTTGTTTTCCCGTTGTTGGCTTCGACATCGCTGTTGATAGGTTCCTGACGGCGAACTGAATGTCAGGTCTATCGTGGGCCACATAAAGGAGTATACACCCACAGGTACGATACCTGCTCGATGCTTCTTCACCAAGTTCTTGTGAATCATCCTTTTCTTGGCATGCTGGAGTGCAGGGAAAGTTTTTGCTCTTCCTTTCCTGTAACCCGAGGATCTCCGTGAGCTTCTTGGAATACTTGCTGTCGCTAAAGACCTTAAGTTCAAAGTTCTCGAACGTGTATTTTCGCTTGAGAAATCTGACACTTCCTTCGGAGTATCCCTTCTCGTAGTCTTCCTCCTGGAGAAACCAACCTGTAGCTTCACTTTCCTTCTCAGATGAGCCAAGATGGGCTCAATCGTCTCCTTTTTCCCTGCAAACTGTAGATCATCAGCATGGACAGTGCAGATTGCAATTACCTTCTTTTCACCATCTTCTCCTTCTTGTAAAAAACGATACAACGACGGGGACTCCTTTGCTGCGTTCAAACTTTTCTTTCGCGAGCAATTCATCACGTTCTTCAGCATCTCTTCAACTACATGGGCTTCTTTTGGTACGCGGCACAAGCAAGGAGTTCTTTGAGGTTCTTGAAGAAATGCGTCTTTCACGTCTACACTGTAGATGGCCCAGCTGTTGGCCAATAGGCGCCAACCTTGCAATTCCTGGGCTTGTCACTGCTGAAAATACATCCTCTCTGTTTCCTTCTGGCTTGTACTGTCTTGCAACCAGTCTTGCTCTTCCCAACATCTGTCTGTAGGTCCTTTTGTCTTTCCTTCTGCTTCAAAACGACGGCTCGAAGACGCCAATCTTTTACAAGCTTCGTGGCAGCACGAAGCACGCTCCGGTGAAACAGCAAACCAAAAGAATCCAAGCATAAGCTGTGCAGGGCGAAACCACTGCGGTGGAACAGCAAACCAAAAGAATCCAAGCATGGAAATGCCGCTGCATTCCTGCAACGGTCTCTTGAACAGACCGTCCCAGTCGCCGCAGGGCCTTCATCTCTTCCCCGTCGCTGCCATCCTCCTCGCTCGGCCTGGCTTGCTGCGCTACTGGCGTGGTCTGTGGCTCTGAAACCAAGCTCCACGTCTCCATGGGCTCCGCGGTGGGCTCGGGACGAGCTCCGGCCAGACACGACTCCTCCGTCTGAGTTTCCACCGACTTGGTGGGCGCCTGCTTGGCCTTCTCCGCGGTGGCTGTTGCCTCCTCCACTCCACGGGTAGTTGGCTTCTCCCTCGGTCCGCTCCTCCACGGGCAGTGTCTCGGTCCGCTCCTCCAGGGGCGGTCTTGGCTGAGAACGAGGTCGACGTCCCCAGCTCCTCTTCCGAAGAGCTGCTGAAGATGACGGACTTGACCATCTCCGAGGTGCTCCACTTGGAAGCTCCAGCTAACCAGCCAACCCACATTAAAACCCCTCGCCATGGACAGACTGATCTTGACCCCAGTTTGTGGGATCATTTGCGGTTGGCAGTCAGTGGTGCTAGCATTCACTTGATTGCTGAGAGCTTGCTGTCTTCTAGCCATGCCTATCTGGTCGACGAGGACTACCACGAGGTTTGCTGTACGTTGGCGTCAGGGGAAGAACTGAGCTTGACTAGGAGAGTGACTGTTAGAGTCATCAGGACTCCTTTATACTCACGTACGCAAATATACTGTGCCGGATTATCTTGCTTCGTTTGATCAATTGCATAGCTGCACAAGATTGTTGCTGTCGTTGTCTCTAATCCTGCAGCAGCTCAGGTTGTCATGTTGGCTGAGAAAACAAGAAAGAA